CTAGAGTCCCCTAACAGGTTATTCTCCCTTTAGTCATGCCCTCCTCCATTCAGCTGTCATAAAGATCTCTCTAAAAGTGCCATGCTATTTATTTTTTTTTTAATGTTTATTTATTTTTGACAGAGAGAGAGAGAGAGAGAGAGAGAGAGACAGAGCATGTGCGGAAGAGAGAGAGGGAGACACAGAATCCGAAACAGGCTCCAGGCTCTGAGCTGTCAGCACAGAGCCAGACATGGGGCTCGAACTCACAGACCACGAGATCATGACCTGAGCTGAAGTCGGCCGCTCAACCGACTGAGCCACCCAGGTGCCCCTAAAAGTGCCATGCTACTTTAAAAAGTACAACGCTCTCTCCCTCACTCAGAGGCTTTATATGACACACGAAGCCCCATGGTGGGTCCTCCTCCTCAGCAAATTGTCTAAAAAACTTCCTATCAGATACTTTTTGTCCCAGCAACACTGGAGAGTTGCATCACAAGGGCTGAATCCCCGAAGGCCTCTGAAATTTAAAATTTAAGTTTTTATGTAATAAAAAATCTCTCACGTGAATAACTGTAAACTTGAGGGAGTGTATAGGAGCACGTAAGGTTTGACAGTTGTGGTACATTTTCCCATTCATATTTTTCTACTCAGCAATGCCTCCACAATTGTTTCACAACAGACTTCCTGTTAAATTTACAGATAGTGGATTCGGGGACTTCTTTGTCACATTTTATTGCATTTAAGTCTTGTTTCAAAGTTTCAGATGTTCAAACATTATTTCAGAACCGACCTGTAGCCTTAGTCCTAGCAGTGCTGTTTAATGAGGATTTCAATTCTATCATTCTATTCTTTCAATTCTATTATTCTTTCAATAGAATAGAATTTCAAGAAATTCTATTTCTTTCAATGCGATTATTCTATTATTATAGGAGATTATTTAAATTATAAAGTAGTGACTGCTAAGATTGGAGGGCAAAGGTCGCCGAAAGCCTTCACAGAAGTCTGAATGCAGGTAGACAACAGTGGTCACACATAGGAGAGGACACATGGCTGTTCACTAGCTGACGAGGCCCATGGCAGTAACAGAAACTGCTCCCTTCATATGCTGGCTTTTTCATATTATTTTCTTTGTATGCCACTCAAAGCTACCCCCCCCCCCCAAAGTTTGCTCAAGCAATATTCTGAAGTTGTGTGGAATTCTGTGATTAGGGCACATCGCAAGCCACTGCCATTCTTTACAAGTTTGATCAAACCACCCTCTTTCCTGAACTGTGAGCACCCGCCTCTAAATCATTGATTTCATTTTCCTTTCCGGGAATCAAGTGTCAGTCCATGAACTTGCTCTTTGCTCTTTCTCTTTTCTCTTTCTTTAAAGAAGTTCATATAAACCTTTTCAATTATACACTATAATTCCTCATTCCGTCCCAGCCCATACAGCTTCTTTATATTCTCTATAGCTGTCACCTCTGAACCTCTCTTTATGTTTTATAAAATCTAAGATGCTCTCTCTCAAACTTAAGGGTACATACAAACCATCCAGGAACTTGGGGGAGGGAACTCGATGAAACCTACGGATCACCAATATTCTGATTCAGTAGGTTTAGGGTAGGGTTCAGAAATTTTCATTTTAACAAACGTGGCGGAGATTCTGATGCTGGCCTCTGTGGTCCACAGACCTCCCTCTGAGATGTGCTGCCTGACAGTGTTCTTGAACCGAGTCCACATTATCTCCTCTCCTTCCTCCTTGATCTACGCTCCATAAAACTGCCTCCTCTGCCTGGTTATATTCGCTATTTACCTTTCATTGTTTTTCCCACTTACTCTCAATTCAGTCTGAAGTTGGAAATGTCTCTCAAAATATTTAATTTTGTTCGTCCCCTTCAGAATTTTCTCCATACTATCATCTGAAGGCCAACCGCTGGTATTCTGAAAGTGACTTGATTAATATTTGTATTATGCTTTGCATGCCATCCCGTTCTATAAACAAGTTGCTCATACCACACTCTAATTTTTCAGCTTTCCGGAAATGAATCTGAGGCAACCTCACGATCAGAAAAGATGGTAACTTCCAATTTACATGTCACAAATTTCAAGTTTTCCCGTGTGTAAATTGCCCGTTTTTTTTTCAGGGCCATTTCTCTTCATTAAATGCATTCAGAACTATTAGTATGCACATACAAATCAGTGCCCTTCAATCCCAATAATTTTGCAGGCTGGTTGTAAATATTTGTCCTCAGAGAGTACACTGTCCCTGCTTATGCTCCTGCAATTGAAAATCCTGTCTATTCAACATCTTTATTGTTATACTAAGAAAAGTGGTCAAGTCTTTAAGGTTTTTGCTGTTGTTGTTGTTTATTGGAGGGAATGGAGCAGAGAGTAAACAGGATGTGAGATTATGTTCTGAATCAATATCCTTGATCGTACATCATTTAACACAGATCTCAATCTTGCCTTCCTTTTCTCTTATAGATGACACTGGAATTTCAGCATATTTGGGGGCAGTCGTCACGATTTCCATATTAATTCTTCATTCTATTGGTTCTTCTGTCCCAAGGTTTTTTTATTTTTACTGTTTATTTATTTTTGAGAGAGATAGAGAGAGAAGCAGAGAGAGAGGGAAACACAGAATCTGAATCAGGCTTCTGGCTCTGAGCTGTCAGCGGATAGCCCAATGCGGGTCTTGAACTCCCTAACCATGAGATCATGACTTGAGCCAAAAGCAGATGCTTAACGGTCTGAGCCACCCAGGCACCCCGTGTCCCAAGTTTTGTGACATATTCCCCAAATTTTTACTCCTTTTCATGACAGTGGTCATGCATAATTCCAAAGGAACAGAAAGCAGTCTTACACCCTTACCCTCTGAACTATAAACCCTGTTTCTGAATCCATTTTATTACTACCTAATAAAACTTCCTGACCCAGAGCATAGCTGAAGAGGGGAACTTTGAGAGACAGATACATTAGGAAATGTACAAGGCCCACATCACATGCATTGTTCAGTTTTTATATACATACGCTCTATGTGCCTAAGAACCATGTTGTTTAAATCAGTGACATTTAAGCCACCATTCGTGTTGCCTCCAGTAGTATCCACATCTGGAAAAGAATCCATCAAGTCTGAAAAAAATGTTTTACTGCTTTAGATAAAATACATATGTCTACACATTTGTATATTTCTCTACCATTATTGATCCATTTGACCTTCATACCAGCCTTGCTTGAATACCTGAATAAGTTTGCTACCAGAATTGTTTTTTTAATGTAAGACTCTAGGGTTAAGTATTATGTAGTAGGTTTCAAAATCAAAATATAAAATAAAAAAAGCTACAGAGCTTTTTATTAAAGTTGACAAATACTAAGTAATCTTAATCCAGATTCAAGGAAGCATTGTTGTTATCAAAGTAATCAAGGTGGGAATCTAGAGGGTGACAGTTTACATAAGTATGTGAATGGTTTGTGCATGTTCTGACTCTCATTTAAAAGTTGCCAGATATATCTAGCCCTCAGTTTGCTCTTCTGTAAAAGAAGAGAATTGAACTGATTGTCCGGCAGGTCTCAAATATGGCCATGACCAAATCACCTGAATGATTCTCAATCCCATTCCAATATTTTTGCTATGGGTTGAATCGTGTCCTTCACAAAAGGTATGTTAAAGTGACTGACAATGTGGCCTGATTTGAAAATAGGTTCATTGCTCATGTAATTAGGTAAGATGATGTCATACTGGCATATGGCGGGGCCCAATCCAATGTAACTGGTGTCCTTATCAAAAGAGCCACAGAGGCACACACATACAGGAAAATAGGCCATGTGGTACCTGAGGCAGAGTGGAGTGATGCCCCTGCAAGCTAAGGACTACAAGAGATGGCTGGTGACCACCAGACGTAGGGAAAGTCATGGAAAGATTTTTTTTCAATATATGAAGTTTATTGTCAAATTGGTTTCCATACAACACCCAGTGCTCAGCCCAAAAGGTGCCCTCCTCAATACCCATCACCCACCCTCCCCTCCCTCCCACCCCCCATCAACCCTCAGTTTGTTCTCAGTTTTTAAGAGTCTCTTATGCTTTGGTTGTCTTCCACTCTAACCTCTTTTTTTTTTCTTCCCCTCCCCCATGGGTTTCTGTTAAGTTTCTCAGGATCCACATAAGAGTGAAACCATATGGTATCTGTCTTTCTCTGTATGGCTTATTTCACTTAGCATCACACTCTCCAGTTCCATCCATGTTGCTACAAAGGGCCATATTTCATTCTTTCTCATTGCCACGTTGTACTCCATTGTGTATATAAACCACAATTTCTTTATCATGGAAAGATTTCTTTATAAGATTCAGATCCAGCCTCCACAACTGTGAGACAGTAAACTTTCGCTCTTTTAAACTACTCTGTTTGTGGCACTTTGTTTTGGCAGCCCAAGGAAACTAGTATCATTACCAAAGATCTTTAAGAATAAACCAAGGGAATCTGTATTTTGAAAACCCCACCCTCCCTGGTGGTGATTCTCCTATGAGCAAGGTTTGGGGCACCGGATGGATGATCTCTGAGGTTCTGTTAACATCCCAGATTCTACAATGTGTGGATGCATATGTGTTGCAAACAGTAAAAAGAAAAGAACAAAAAGATATATATGCATGTCAATGATGAAATAAGGTTGAGGACTACTAGCACTTCATAACAATACCAAAAGTTTCCCTCCTATTTATGATAATGAAGCCCTAAATGATGCTATTCTATTGCTGCTACCCCAAAAGTACAAGGCACTTGAAGGTCAATCCAATTTCATCTTGACAAACACATCTATTTGAACTTATTTGCTCTTGGAGATATGATGCTTATTCAGTTTTCAGTCAGTAAGTGTTGGGGTACTGTTTGTGATAGATTTGCCTCCTAATGGGTAATATATCTTCTGTGTGTGAACATCCAGTTCTTTTGCAATTGTCTGTGATGATTGATATTAAACTATCATTCCTTGGTCTGTGTCATCAAGTACAAACTTATCTTTCATATTGCCAACTCCAGACACTTCTCTCTCCTGCCTGGGTCTGCCCTTGAGACACAAGAACGTGTGGCACACAGCACCGTGGGAGCATCAGGGATCCGCATCATGCCCAGAGCTGACAGAGTGCCCTGAGTAATGGCGGCAACCTTCCAAAACACACCAGTGGGGCCTCCATCTATAGCCGTACCAGACAACAATGACCCCTAACTCCACAATACATCTTGTTCATCATTCCTGTAAGCTGTTCTTCTACATTTTTCTCTTTCTTTTGTGTCTTCACCGTGGACTACCAATGGAATCCTGTAGGAAATGAAATTCTCTGAGAAAAAAATTCAGAAGGAGGAAAAGAAAAGAAATACTCTTTAACATTTTTCTCTCCCGTAGTATATGACCAAACAGAATGGGATTGGAAATGCTGGTCAAAAGTAATGAGGCACCTGGGAAACAGAAAGAAAGCTTGTCCTTCACAGCCCTGTCCACTGAAGTGGTTTCAGTACACAGGGTGGGTACCACCTGACTTCTGTCTTCATTGTCATCACGCGTGTGTGTGTGTGAGCATGTGTGTATTCATTTGTGATTGGCTTATTATCCCCAATTTGGCATGATCTCTTTATCCACTCCAATAGGAATGTCCACATGAGAATTAATCATCATGGTTGTATAACTGTCCTTTCTCAATCTTTTGTCTCACAAATGAAGAAGATTGCTTACTTTTAGATGATTGCAGCAAATATATTATCTTCTATCTCTTCTATTGGAATTGACAAGATTAGCGTATTGGAGGCATCCATTACAATATTAAAATGATTGGTTTATGTGTATAAACCACCAGAATATTGTAAGGTCTCTAAGATTAGGACTCATGTCTAAACCTATATTGGTATCCCATTCCTTAGCTTTGTACTTGGCACATACTAGGTACTATATATATACACATACATATATATATATATGTGTATATATATATATACACACATATATATATGTGTGTGTGTGTGTATGTGTATGTACACGTATATATTTCCCCCCCCCCCCCCGAATTGTTTCCTGATAGGTGAGGCATTTCTGTCTTCTAGAGTGAAGGAGGAGCATACAGAATTCTGTATCATGGTGGTATTCACTCCAAAGTAGTTGGGAATCAAGTTTCAGATGAGAAGCAAGACACCAGTTCATAGAACTGGTAGATTATAAATATAGTATGAAAACTGTGGAGAGCCAAGGCTAAGAAGAATGGAGAAGGTCTAAACTGTTGTTGCGAGCATAGTTAGAGGTATAGAACCATTTGGGAAAAGTGTAAAGTGAAAGGGAAGTTTCAAGACTCTAGAGTCTGAGGATCAGTGAGCTGGAATTTGAGTCAATAGGCAAGATGAAGACATTACAGTCACTCTCAAAGACCAATATAGATCCAACACATGGGTTGAGCAATAGGAGGTGAGGAATCCATTCCTTTTTCTTCTCCCAAAGAAGGAAACTGAAAATCAAGAAAGAGATACGCCATTTTGGGCGACAAGATGTAAATGGTTTGGTTAAAAAGAACAAAGTAAAGCATAGAATGATTGAGTATATCGTGTGTTGTTGTTGTTGTTTTAAGCACACGTAAAGAATTTCCTTGAAAGAATTTTATCCAGACTTTCAATTCTAGTTTCAAATATTTAATAAAATGGTTAATGACCCAGTTTATTTTAAAAAGTCCAAAAGGTAAGGCTGATATAATTACGCTGATAAACTATGTTGAGGCAAAAGTATTCGGCAGATTGCATTTATACCTGAGCTTTAAGAGAACTTCACATACATAATTTAATTTAAACAATACTTTTGGAGCATGCTGATATTTTTGCTTTAACACAAAGTAATGGACACAATTTAAAACAACTGTTACTGAAGCAATAGTATACCTGTTCACATCCATTAAATCTCTTCACACTGAAAGGGTCAATTATGCAACCAACAAAATGGTTCCATACCAATGTGAAAATCACCAATGTGGTGCCTTAAATTAAAAATTCAGTCCTTCTTGAGTAAGGAGCAGTTCCAAGATGTGGGAATTAGCCCTGAGGCATATCTTAAGACATTCAAAGACCAGGTGCATTCAGCATTCATTTGACTAAGTACTTGCAAATGTTATGTAGAATAATTACTTAAGCACAGAATATCTGCTTACAAAAGTGAAAAGCTATTGGAAGCAACATTAAGATGAATAATTATGATTTTTACTAGTGTTTTATGGGAGTATAATTTTGATACAGTAAAATGTCAAGTCCTAAGTGTTCAGCTCAATAAATTTTTTCATGTGTACACTTCTGTGGAATCACCACCTACTTAAAAATATAGAACATTTCCGCCAGCTCCAAAATAATTTCTATTTTAAAATGAAGCTGCACTGTGAACATTGGGAAGATGAGGGGGGATTACACATCCAAATTTTTAAAAAATAATCAGTAGGAAATCATAATTCACTTTATAAATATTTGATTCACACACAATTTTTTCAGGTGTGTTTCTGGTGTATATAATGATGGTCTCCCACATATCTCAAAGTCACTTACCTACTTTTTTTTTTACCATAATCCATTAAAATATTTTTAAAGACACTTGTCTGGTTATAAACAAATAAATAGTATTTGTTAAAGGTATGACTTCCCACTGTTTCCCAGCATGCCTATATTTCTTCATCAGCCTGCCTCACTCAGTGTTGATTCCTCTGAAGATATAGATAATTGTGGTTGAGAGTATACTAGTGACACCTAGTGCTTATCCACTAAAAATGTCTGTGCTTAAGAGAACATTTATTTTCTCATGGTTAGCTACTGTTAATCAAGTTCCTGTTTATGTGCGGAAAGTGACAGTGATAATATAAGTGCTATTTCGTGCTGTTAAAGACAAAATGGATAACCTTCCAACGTAACCTCTTAACATAATTAAAGCAAACAGATTTGACATTAACACTGTGCATTAAGAGCACGAGCAGAGAACGAGAGGATCACAGAATGAGAAGGCATATGCTTGAATTGCATTTTTATTATTCATAAGCAGATATGAATGCCAAAAAGTTGTGGCATATTGGCTTAGTCCACTCATTAGGAACTAGTAGGTGACATGGGAGACAGAGGTGAGGTCTCTTCACACAATGAAAAAAGACATAAATAAGGCTCCTTGTTATTAATACTTTGGTTCTAAGATTTTCCATAACTTAGGTCAGATCCTGAAACACAGTGAGCCCCTCAGGCAAATGTAGCAAGGCTTGTCACTTCAGTTAGATGGACAAGTCTTAGTCTCTCCTTTCTTGCTGTAGTACAGAAAGAAAATCTCAGCTCTCAGTCCCGTTACCTTTGTGGAATAATAGTGATAGTGCCAGGAAGCCTCTCCATGCCCAACCAAAGTATTTTCCATCTACCTATCATTCCTATTATACCACTGTTATAAGAACTTCTGTCCCTTGAACCACCAAAATCTTGGTATGGTATTATAAGCTAAACAATACTGGGGATGAGTCAGCAGTTGATCTCTGGTTGACAGTGGTGAAGCAAAAGTGACTCTGGGGGAGGAAAGAGTCGTGATGAAGGTGAAGACAGAGAATGCTAGATTAAATTTAAATTCAAAAACATACTGCACAATTTTGCCAAAGATAAGTCATGAAACCATGTAGCTACTTTCACTTTTGTTCAGCAAACATTTTTTTTAAATTTCTTTAATGCTAATTTATTTTTGAGAGAGACAGAGCACGAACGGGGGAGGGGCAGAGAGAGAGGGAGACACAGAATCCGAAGCAGGCTCCAGGCTCCGAGCTGTCAGCACAGAATCAGACGTGGGGTTCAAACTCACAGACTGTGAAATCATGACCTGAGCCGAAGATGGCCATTTAACCGACTGAGCCACCCATGTGCCCCTTTCTGCAAACATTGTTAAATATCAAGGATGTTGGGCACTCTGCTCAGTACTGAAACATTTTATATATATTTGATATATATTATATATATGTTAATGCATAAGATATATGTATATGCATATATATTTATATATCATATGCTAGGTTCTAGAATCTGGAGCTAAAGTAATAAACAGTATAAGTAAGAGGTCTTTCCTTATGCAGGTCATATACTACTACAATACACAGATAGTAACTATAATAACAACAATAACAAAGATAATTTTGGATATTCATAAGTACCAAGAAGGAAAAACAAGGTGAGATAATGTGCTAGAGTGATGTTAGAGGGATAAGGAAACAAACTTCTGCTAAGGTATCCAGGGACAACCTCTGTGAGGAGATGACACTTGAACTGAGAGCTGAATGAGAAAGCACATGAAGACATGGCAAAAAATGAGGTCCTGGTAAGCACAAAGTCCTAGAGGTAAGAATAATTTTGGTGTATTTAAGGAACAGAAAAAGGACCCATGTGGCAGGAGAGGAGAAGAAGACCAGGTCTGAGGGAAAGACTGGAATGAGATCTCACAGGTTGTTACGGCCTCAATGTTTGTGTCTCCCCCAAAATTCGTATGTTGAAAACTTAGCCCCAATTTGATGGTAGTTAGAGGTGTCTGGGGAGGTAATTAAGTTTAGACCAGATCTTGAGCATGGGCCCCCATGATGGGATTAGTGCCCATATCAGAAGAGGAAGAGCAAGAGATCTCTCTGTCTTCACCAGCATATACCAAGGAAAACCCATGTGAGGACACAGCAAGAAGTCAGCGGTATACAAGCCTGGAAGCAGGCTCTCACCAGACACTGAATCTTCCAGCACCTTGACCTTGGACTTCTCAGCATCTGACACTGTCAGAAATAGCTATCTGTTATTTAAGCCACCAGTCCATGATATTTTGTAAGACACAAATGATGGCATGAAATTTGGAATATAGTTGCATAGATGTAGATAGATAGATAGATAGATAGATGATAGATGATAAAGATTTCATTTTATTGCAGAACACTGTGATTACCATATAGATAATAGATATAAGGGGTAAATATTCGGATCAAGATGACCTCATGTAATTTACCATCTATCTAGGAAGGTAGGACCCCTACATGACAAAAGCTAACATTCATAAAGAATATAGCCTACATTATGAACATACCCTATTCTGCAACATTGATACTAATGATTTCTTCCCTTGGGTACATCAGTTGCATGTGAAGAATGCCCTTAAGAAATGAACCCTTAAGAATGACAAGTTGGTGGACTTGGAAAAGCTACATCATGAAATTCTACTCTCTTTTGGGACTTTACACTATTATAGTTCTAGTCTCATACATCAAGTCACTTGAGGTGTCACCTTACATGATTTAAGACTGAAAAAGATAAACCCTCTCTGTCTCTGGGCACCATGTATTGGGTATTTGAAGGGCAGGCCAATGATTGTTTATTTTCCTGAAAATGTCCACGGCTGGAAACATAATGAGAAATACCTCCAACAACTTTGCCAAAGAGCTAACAAAAACTCCCATACAACATCAAAACTGTGTTTTGAATTTCTATGTTTTTTTTCTGTGGGGCTCAAGTT